AGTATAGTATTATTAAACACCGCTCATACATTTGAAATTTCCAGAAAAATTCCTTTGAAACTATAGTACTCAGAATGTATCGGAAATTTGCACTGTACAGGTGGTACAACCTACAATAAACATGAACCCTAACCCCCTATTGTTACTTAGACCTGTCGGTTTGAACCTACTATACTATTTTCCAAAATGCATTTTAATGTAGGATGTGAATAGCGCACAACACAAATTGAATTTGAAACGACTATTTATGAGGTAAGATATTCATTTCGTCCATTAGACGATCAGTGAATTTAAGGAGAGATAATTATTTCACATATATTGCCATAATCCGCTTTTACAGTAGCACTGACAGATCCCAGTGTGTTTTATTACCATCGGTTTTATGTCAAAGGCATTACGGCGTCCTCAACATCTCCTATGCTCTTTTTTATGGACCTATCATGTACCGCAGAGCTATAGGCGGCGACCGGTCGAGGTACCTGACACTTAAACGCGTAATTGGCATAATGCGAGATGTGGCAGGGGCGGGGGCAGCGGGCGGGATCCGGGCGGCGGCGGCGGCGGCGGCGGCGTCTTTCAGAGCGTGGTTTATGGCTCTTAATATTCATTAGCACCTCTTAATGGCAGAGATTCTCCCGTCCAGCAGCTCTTCCTTATGACTTCGCTCATAAACTACGGCCACTCTGCGCGTGAGGCGGCCTCCCCTGCTAGACGACCGTCGCCCGCCGCGCCCGCCCGCCCGCCGCCCAGCCGCCGCGCCCGGCCCGCGCGGCCTGTTCTACTTCCCTAACGCGTCGATTTTAAATGGCGGGTTGGGCGTGTGATTTCGCCGGATCCTCCAACACAGGTGAGAAGATATCGAGAACGCTCCAAAAGTGCTGCGGTACATCTCGTGAGAGGTGGCTGCGTGGAACAATGGAATAAATTAATCCTGCTTCTTTAAGGACGGGGTTTGTAATTGTTTTGTTTGGCCCGGGATGTCTTCTTACCAATCCGAGAAAGGACGTGCTCGTTGTGGTCGTAAAGAGCCTTTGGAAACAAACAGAGCTACCTAATACTTCCTTGCGTGAATTACACCCTGTCAGGTTCGTTGAAAATTTTACATCTGTCCTTGGTTTCCGGGGCTCTTTGGGAACACTTCTCGTCGAGATTCCGAGGTGAACACAAAGTGGAGGTGCGAAAACCATTCCGAATGGGGAAAACGTTGTTGCTTCAGATTAACTAATGTTTAACTGGGAAGTGAAAAATGTTGTCTCGTAAGATAATTTAAAAGTACTGAATTGTCTGCTATTTGGTTACAAACAAAAAAAAACAACCAAAAGTGAAAGATAATCATCGTTGAAAGAATTTCTTTTAGAAAAAGCCATTGAGTGAAATTATTTAGAAGCAATATACAGGTTTTGCATTAGTGTTTGTAACGAGTTTTATATCAGGTTTATTTTGTCTCAATCAAAAAGGTAAATAAGCGATTAAATCATAAAGGTAAATAAGCGGGGAAAATAAAGGAAACATTGTGTAAATGAAATTTATTTGCAAGTTGAATTTGCTTCTTCAAAATTGTGGATTGTACTGGTTGTCATTCTTTACAATCAGAAAAATAATTTGGCGACGAATCCTTTGCTAATTTTCATTGCTTTCCACACACTTGTGACTAAGGGATAGTTATTAGATTTTCTTGCTTTTTACAAGCGAATGTCAACAAAATATTCAATTAACTGTATTATTTTCCTTGTTCTAGGTTGTATTAATTCTTTTTTTTCGTTTATTTTAAGTCGCATCAACATGGTCATTACAATCTTCTTTGAACTATTTTGTCGTATTTTCTCGATTCATAATAAACACAAGGTGGGTGTATGGAATTTTATATTTTATAACACGGCAAAATGTGTTCTAAAAACATTAGTGAGTAATACAATATTTTATTCATTCAGGCAGAAATACGTATACGAGGCATTTTTCAAATAATTTGTAATAGTAACATAGTTTGTTGGAATGTAGGAATTAAGGTCCGCTTGCAGAGATAGTTGTGAGTAGTGTTCTTGCGACTTCGCAACGCGTGGGCGTGTGGGGCCCTTCTTGGGCGGAAGTGGCGGCGCGTTGGGGGCGGCTGCATTTCCTATCGCCCCTGCGTCGCTGCGGCTGCCGCTCTCCCAGCATGACTCACATGACGGCCCCCACATGGCGACGGAAGGTCCTCGCCCTCGCCCTCGCCCTCGCCCTCGCCCGAGTCCATTGCCGAGCCCACTTCCAAGCTCTCACCGACGCTCTCGCCCACGCTATCGCCCACGCTTTTATCCTTGCCCACGCAACCACCCACGCCATTGCCATTGCCAACGCCCACGCCCCCCCTCCGCTCTCGCCCACGCTTTCATCCTAGCCCACGCCTCCGCCTGCTGTAGCTGGCCGCCGACGCGCGTGGCTGTGGCTTTGCCTCCGCTTGTGCCAAACGCTGAGGCCCACGGACAGACGCCGCGTCAAACAACGGAGGTTGTGGCCCTTTGAGGTCCTGAACTGTTTTGTACACATCTCAAGCCGCGCCCGCTCCTAACAAGAGCTGTCTCTCGCTTGGAAATGCGGATGGCAAAGGCAAGCCGATGGGTTTGTGCAATTTACTAAAAGGCTCTATTGTTCTCCAAAGCGCAAATAATATAAATAAAATAAATTTAGAAATACTGCAGCAGAAAGTGACATGCTCAATATTGTAAAAACATCACCCAAATGGCGTTCAAATTGCTACAAAGAATAGCACATTAATTCCAAACAATCTTTCAGTAATATTTTTTATTACGTTTAAATAACATTAACATTATTTAATTTTAATATTGATTACAATTAACAATTGAGTGTAGTAAAAATTATCATTAAATTTCTAAGTTAAATTTATAAAAGCATATAACAATTTTTACCGCAAACAATTGAAGGGAATGGATGTTTAAATATATTTTTTAATATGCGTTGATTAGTCCGCAATTTTTAATATTTTAACTACACTTTTTTAAAAATAAGTACGGTATCATTAACCTCAACATATTCATTAAATGAAATGTACTTCATGTATATTTTTGGACACAGCAGCAGCAGCAGCAGCAGCAGCAAAGAATACTCGTGTAATCCTTGAATACTCCTACAAATATGAAATATTATTCTCGTATTTCAAAGTTAATCTATGTATATTTGCGGAAAAACGATGTGTAAAATCAAGTATTGTATAAATATGCCACAATGTTGAAATTCTTGTTATTGAATTTGTTTGAAATTTTATTGTTGAAAATATTGAATATTGCTATTATTTATTACAGCGTACGTCAAATAAATATTTCATACATGGTCTTCAATATGCCTCTAATTTCGTTATCAATCTCAATTTCTCAAACAAATGTTGTTCTACATGACATCTACTAGTATATGATCTTGTTTTGTATATGATATTGTCAATACAACGACGTTTCTCTAAAATCAAACTAGATCTACTGTCTTCATTTTAGTTTTGCACTTGTGTGAACTTAAAACCATGTCTTTGTGGGTTTCAAATAATTTTGGAATAATTTCTTGTTCTTAAGCTCCCTATGGATTATTTTAACTGATATAGAAACACATTTATTTCCTAAGATCCATCACAACTTTCCAACAAAACTATTTTAATTCCATACCTGTCATCACGTTAAAATTCGTCAATGTTGACAAATGAATTGTCATTTATCTTGTGCATCACATATTGCCTTTATTAGAAAGCGCTGAATAAATCGGAAATAAACGCATAAATAGATTTAATATGATTTACTTCTCTTGCTTTGAGTTTACTCTTGGTTCTTAGCTTGCATTTATCAATAAAGTGTGTAACTCATAAATTTCCTAGTAAGTAATATTTGCATTTAAATATTTTAAATGTCAACTCAAAAAAATAAACAGATCATGTAAAAGGCATTGTAAATGCCTCTTTCCACAATATTGTCTCTGCTTATAATGGTATCTAATTGCCTGCCTGTATTCTTCAGCGAGCAAGTATTTGACATGGGTAAATAAATTTTAAAAATAACAAAAATTTACAAAATGCAGAACCACTAGTGGATTGAAGGTATTTAATTTATTTTTGAAGTACTTAGCATAAGACATTTAAACGAAACTAAACTGTCACATTTGAAATTTGCCCAGACGTGAAATTGTTGGTTATAACATGGCGAGGAAATATGAGAAGCGATTTGGGAGCAGAACAAAGTTAATGACGGTAATTCTTTGAACATTACTCACATTACAACATAGATACTTCCCCACTCAGCAGTTAACGGGCAAGTAATCTGAGGTAGGTAAATGTCAAATTACGCTTGGGAAGGAACACGAGTAGAAGAAAAAACAGTAATATATCTAAGTACTATGTTACCCACAGGAAACTACTTAGAATATATCGGTGGAGTAACACCTGAACTACCCACAGTTTGTTCCTGTCATCCACTTGCGACCATCAGTCGCCAGCAATCGCAACCACCTGACCCATGAGCACCCATCTAATCGTGTGACGTCATCAATAATCGAAGGTCGCGGGCGAAACCACCCATTTTCACTGTTTTCCCGCATTCTCCGCAGCTGTCACTGCAGCACTGAGTACACGCCACTTCCGTCACACGGTGGATGTCACGTCACCGCTATGCCGCACACGGTACGAGCCTCCAACATCGCAAAAACTATATAAACAAATACTCACTGGACGTGCATAAGAATGACACTCGTTCACTGGACCTCACGTGGCGATGACGCAGTTACAACACACAGCGCAGATCTAAGGCACTGTACGTCAACAGTTGAACGTGGTTACCGTTCATACTGGAGCTGTCTTGGTTGAAAAAAACACGCCGTACATACGTCACAACACACGAACACAGACACAGGCAAAAAAGCAGAAAAACAACACGAATCCTCCAGACACACGCGGAATCAGAAAATAGCACACGTGACCTCCGAGAGCAGATGCTATTGGTCGGATGCTCTATTTACAATATATGTACGCGATATCGGCGCTGCGCGCACAGAATCAGGGCGCCCAGAGCAGAGCGCTGGCCGTCGGCGACGAAGGAAAAAAAATAAAATAAACAAAAAGAAGTCGCGGCGACGGAGGCGGAGCGCTGCGAGCGGCGGGCGCGCGGGCATGGACGCGCGCGCACCATAAATATCTCAGTTCGCAGCGTGAAATCTACGGGCGCAATGATCGATTGTGGATGTGGCCTGCGCGCGGAGTCGGGCGCGCGCGGGCCCTCCCGCCGCCGACGCTGCCGCTCCCGAGCTTGGGCTCCCTCCTGCCCCCTACCAACGAGCGCCCGAACAGCTGGTGCCGCGCAGCTTCAGCCCACCCGCCAACAGAAAGCGCCACTGCCTGCGCGCTCGAGCTGCTGGCGGGGAATGCGCGAACTACGTGGTCGAGAGGAGAATTTCGGGGAGGGAAAATTCGAATTTGGGTGGGACGAAAGGAACGAATATTTGAACGATGAAATGAAACTTTCATTGGTGAAAAAGTGATAACGTGACTCTTTACTTGTTAATAATAAATTTTTTCATTTTTATTTTCGTGTCAGTCGTTTCCATAATTCAAGAAGAAGAAAAAATACTGAAAATTCCAAGCACAAGTCCGAGCTGATGTTATTTATTGCACTATTGTAAGCTGGTTGAAAAATATGCAAAAATAAAATACACATTAATGAGGGATAGAAATTATTTGGTAAGATGAAATATTCGTAGTAAATCAATTGGACTGATTGATGGATTGGGGTGTTAAAACGGAACTCTAAACTCAACGTTAAAAAGTAATGTGGATTACAAATGATCATTGGCTATTGACACATTGAAAACAACTTTTGATTTGATAACATGATATTTAAATAAACATATTCCATTAGGGAGAATGCGTACTGGTGTAACGTCAATAATTGGTGCCCGTTTGAAAATTGCTTAACATAGTAATAATTAATTTTAAGTATAATAATATTATTTTCCATGTAACAATTTCACAACCAAGGTTTCTACTTACTCATTTCACTTTCAATTTTTTATCTTTTTTTTCTGGAAAAAAAATCTCTGCTATCATGAAAATCTACTGAACTTACTTTGGCAATTCTGCCTGTTACCAATATTTTTTTCTGATAAAGACAATATTTTACTTTATATTCCACTAAATTATTGGAAATATAATGTAAATATTGTCAAAAGTTGATTCTCTTACAATTGTTAAACATTTCTTTCAAGAAATTTGCACAAGAAGGTCTTGTAACAATTGATTAAAACAATTGTTGGGTATCGAGCTTTAGTAAATCGGTCGCTAAATCGTGCATTGTATATGAGAATATAGTAACGTTCTGAAACGCCTTTACTTAATGTTTGAGGTACCTTAAAGAGTAAAAAATGAATACATTGGAACTAGAAAAGCGAAGCTTAGAGTAGGGAACGAAGTTCTAGTAGGGGAGACGGAGATAAGTTTTTTGAAAGTCATACGGAGACATAGGAGCATGTGATCGGAGTGAATGGGAGGTAGAAAAGGAATAGAGAATGGAGAGGACTCAGACATACAGGAAAATATTATATGGTCATGGAAGTGAGGAAGGACAAATGGGGAGAATAGAGAAATTAAGACACGAAGCAGAAGGGAAAAGCAGGAAAAAGAGACGTTAGAGAGATGAGGAAACAAAGGGCAGGGTTGGAGAGGACGAGATGGAGTTTGAATACGAAGAAATTTGAAAAGGAGAGATTTGGATAGGAGGAGTTGTTTATGTTGAGGAAATGGTTGGTCTATATGGGAATGAAATTAACAATGTTAAAATGAATAACGCAAGGAAGGGTGAGGTTTTCGAATCCAAATGTAACCTAAAAGGGTATAGGTTGTAAAATAAATATAAGAGTAGAATACAATAGTTCTTTGGTTTCAATATTAGTAAAGATTTCAAATGCTGTAGAACTCCGATAATCCGAAGTAATACGGGGTGTGGTGTGCTCGGATTCGCAAATGTTCGGATTATTCAAAAAAAATGTACCGCACATATACAAATACATCTATAGGATTATCAGACAATTCAACGTAGCGTGCGATGAGAGAAAGTGAAAACGTAGCCTAGCTATCGTATCATCAAGATTCAGTACCTTACCGGAAATGATTACCGATTTTGCAAGTTTCTCTAACTGAAAATTACTGCTACATAATCATGTGATATATACAGTAGTTACCAGAGCAATAAACGTTGCATTTCGACAACTCGTGTTTCAAAAATTGGTTGTTCATTTCTCTAGTAATTATGTTCTTTCTTTGCACCACAAATAAACATTTTATTTATTTTGTTCATTCTTTCCTCCATCTCGGATTTTGCTTGGATTATCCAAAATTTTGGTTTAGAATTAGCGAGGTTCTATTGTAGCTTGCTACGCTATATATATTGAACTTTTTTACCCAATTCAAAATACTGTACAAAACTGGCTTCACTGGATGTTCAAATTCAGAAGAGAGCCCCCAAGGCCCGCTACCTCCAGCTACGATTCCAACTCGTGCCAGCGTTGCTCGCCCACCTCTGCCTTCTCACCCATCTCCCGCGCGCAGCCACCGCGCGCCAGCGGAGATCGTGACGAATTTATGTTTTATTTTTCCCGTCAGCGCGCGCGGGCACAGGCGCCGCGGGCCGTCCAAGAGCCAGCCGCTGGCCACGCGCGGCCCCAGCCACGGCACGCCACGCCGCGCCACGCTACCCCACGCCACGCCACCCCTGCCGCCCCACGCTACAGCATCCCACGCCGCGCCAAGTGACGCCGTGGCACCCACGCCG